AATTCAGATTAGTTTTCCACCAATATGTGTAGAGTTGGAGACTTTAAGCAACTAAATTTTTCATTTTTGGTAATTTTCTAATGGTGATGTCATTAAAATGGTGTTATACACATATTCAACAATAATTTCATTTTTCACACACAAGTAAAACGTACAATACACGTACGTGCAGATTTTGCATGTTGAATACACGTGTTTTTTACAAAATTGTCAACAATACACGCAAAATTCACGTATTTCACACACAATTTTACATATTATTGAGTAAAAAAATATATATTGATCATTCATATGCTTGGTAGTAACGTAAGTTAGCCTAAGGAAAAAGAAGAAACAAGTTAGAATAGTATAATACCCACTCTTGCGGGGGTTTTTTCAAAATTCTATTTTAAAAAGAGTACAGCCGCACGGCTATACGCTTGAAATATTGATTTCAGGAGTATAGCCGTGCGGCTATACTGTATTGTTTGGCCCATTTTATTTTATTTTTTAATTAACGAAACAGTACGCCATCCTCCTCCATCCTCTCAAAACCCTTTTATAGTTTCAAAGCACTCTCCAACATCATATAAGTTGAATTCCATCTTGTCCACACATCTAAAGGAACCATGGTTCTAGTATCACCCTTCTCCATCTCCAAAGGTATTGTTTGGCCCATTTTATTTTATTTTTTAATTAACGAAACAGTACGCCATCCTCCTCCATCCTCTCAAAACCTTTTTGTAGTTTCAAAGCACTCTCCAACATCATATAAGTTGAATTCCATCTTGTCCACACATCTAAAGGAACCATGGTTCTAGTATCACCCTTCTCCATTTCCAAACAAGCCCTAAACTTCTCTAACCGTCGGGATGACCCCCTAATGTAATTAGCACAATTGTGAATACTCTCAATAGATTGATGAATTTCTTTTATTTCATCGGTTACAATCAAGTTTGTAACATATGCACAAAACCTCACACGTAACAAACTACCATCACCTATGAGTGAATTCCACTTTTCTAACCTCTTCTTCATGTAGCTAAAACATCTATCATTGGATGAAGCATTATCAACCGATATGGTGAAGACTTTGTCTATCCCCCATCCATTCAAACATGCCTCCACAAGCCTACCAATTGTATCCCCCTTATGATTAAGAATGATACAAAAATTAAGGATTCTCTTATGCAAGACCCAATCATCATCAATGAAGTGGGCCGTGAGAACCATGTAATTGATATTTTGAATGGATGTCCAAGTGTCGGTGGTAAGAGAGACTCTTTGTGTATTATGTGTTAAGACGCTCTTGATTTTAGTTTTCTCCTCTTGATAGAGATCCCACACATCTCTAGCAATTATTGTACGAGATGGCAAATCAAATCTAAGTTGTGCCTCGTTAAAAGATTCACGAAACCCGATACCCTCCACATGACTAAACGGAAGCTCATCCCGAATAATCATCTTGACACATGCAATTCTACATATCTCTTTACTAAATGCATGTGCTACTAGTTTACCCCATTTCGCTTGGCCCTCAAATGAAAGGACTTTTTGTCTTTTCTCATGTATCAATGGAGAACTCTTACATAGACTTCTCAAATGGCACCACAAAGTGGATGTACCATTAATTTTACCATCACATGCATTTTACCCCCTTTCGCTTGACCCTCAAACGAAAGGACTTTTTGTCTTTTCTCATGTATCAATGGAGAACTCTCACATAGACTTCTCAAATGGTACCACAAAGTGGATGTACCATTAATTTTACCATCACATGCATAGTCCTTTTTACAGTACTTACATATGCATCTAGGCTCACTAGTTTCATCCTCACACTTTATCTTTGTGAAATGATCCCAAACCCTTGAAGCATTCTTACAAGGCTTTCTTTTTCCTAAAGTGCTAGGGGATGATTTTGGAGGGGTTGATTGTGGAGGGGCTAATGGTGGTGGTGGGTTAGTTGAAATAGGGGTTTCAAATTCTGCTTCCATTAAATTTATAATACCCTACAAAAATACAAATATTTGGTGCTTCAATAACAATTCTGCTTCCATTAAATTAATAATACCCTACAAAAATACAAATATTTGGTGCTTCAATAACCAAAAACAATAAGCATGTAATCAATATTGCATATCTGCCAAAGCAGCAACCAAATACAAATATCACATTATTTAATAATTCCACTTTTCTAACTTCTTATTCATGCCTTTAGCCTATGTGAATTGGTGCCAAATTTAGTGTGACATTACAATAATCATAGAACTTAAATTATTACTCAATATCTGCCAAATCACATTATTATTGAATGATGCAATTTTCTAAAATCCGAAATGAAATCACAGCAATTTTCCAAAATCCGAAATGAAATCACAGCAACAAAAAATCACTTCTGTCCCAAAATCAATTCTATGATCCTAGATATTACCAGAAATCACAACAACACCATAAATAAATCAAACAAAAAAAGAGTCAGATCAAAGAAATTACCTAGAGCAAGCCAATCATTTCCTATTCTCCCAAAATCAATTCTGTCCACCAAAAATCACAACAATGTCAGATTAGAAAAATAGAATTAACAAAAATTGTCAAATCCTAACATTTTTAATTAGTGTTTACACATATTAATACCTCAAATTGAGAGAGAGCGAGAGAGACTGAGATAGAGCTGCTGACAGAGAGCGAGAGTGGCTAAGAGAGAGAGAGAAAAACTGGTTGAGGGAGACGAGAGTCAAAGCGGGTGAGAGAGAGTGACTGAGAGACTGAGTGACTGAGAGATCGGGTGAGAAAAATCGGTTGAAAGAGATATAGAGAGAGAAAGCGGGTGAGTAGGAAGAAAAGACAGAGCCGAGAGTGATTGAGAGAGGCAGAGTCGAGATTGATTGACAGAGGCAATGGCGAGAGTGAGTTTGAGAGGAGAAAAGGCGAAATGGAGAAAAAAAATCGAAGCAAAGTTTTAGGGTTTCGCTCGATCCGGTGTAACGTAGCGTAGGAAATGGCTTAATCTCGACGAATCGTCACTTGACACGTGTATTACTTATTTTTTTAATAATATAATTAAAATACTCGGTCCGGTCTGGTTTTTGGCGGTTTGTAGCCAATTAAAACCGGTCCAACCCGATTCATGGCCGGTTCGACCGATTTTTTTACCGATTCTTCAATTTTTCAGTGTAAAACCAATTTAGAAATTGATTTGTCCAGATTAAATCACCATAAATGGCAATTAATCTTTAATCTGTAAATTTATTCTTTGCGAATTGGGTACACAGGTCTGGGCCTCTAAACCCATCTGGGCTTGGTAGAGGACATTATTTGAATGGCTTGTACATCTTACATCAAATGCTCTCAAAATCTACAACATGGGTGTTCCAAGCCAGTTCTTATACAACGGAGCTGTTTATAGACGTTCATTTGTGCTGAACCCGAGCCACTACGCGTTCTTATCTTTCATGCGACCGATAAGGCCCAAATTAATCAAGACTTCACCTTTCTGACCGTTTCCAAAAAAATAAAAAATATATACATATATATAAACACACGCAATAACCCAATAACCCGCTTACAACCCAATAACCCGTTTACTTTGAAACCCTAGAAAACACGCATATATAAAGTGACACTCTCCTCTAATTCGAAAACCTACCCAGGCGCCTCCAAACTGAATCTTACCCAGCTCTCTCATCTCTCTGTCTTCGCCTCTCAGAGGCCCTGAGTCAGAGATAGTCCCCCGATTCTCTTTCTTTTTCTCAGATACAACAAGGAGGGGGATCTCCTTTTCTCCTGCGGTAAAGACCACACACCTACTGTCTGGTTCGCCGACAATGTGGTTATCGCCGACTGAGGGTTCATCTCTCTTCTCAGAGTCTCTTGAGACTTGAACGGCACCTATGGCGGCCACAACGGTGCCGTTTGGTGTTGCGAGGTTTCAAGAGACTCTGGGGAGGGCGGTGGACCTCTCAGTCGGCGATAGCCACCGACCCTTTGATGGAGCTCTCTTCTGCGATTCACGTCAAGCGCATCTCCAAAGACCCCGCAGATCGTAACATTCTCTTCCTTGCCCTCTTTTTAGCTTTTCAATTTTTACATAATAATGGAATTCTGGGTCATCTGTGGTTTCAATATTTTCAGAGGTTGGTTTCTATTGAGTTGTAGCTTCTGTATTTTTACTGATTTTGTGTTTTCTGCTGCAAAATTTTCAGCTTTGGGATTTTAGAAGGTTGACACCTATCAAGATCTACGTGACTGAGCGTCCTCCATAGGAAACATATTGGTTCTGAACCACATTCCGAATACCTCTTAAGCATTCTGGTTCATGGCCACAAGAAAATCAGTGTGTTGAAAATGTTGGGCAATGAACAAACGAAACAACCATTACTCAAATGCAGGCAAAACAAAATACACAGTAAATTAACAAGAAAAATGAGTACGAAATTGAAGTTAGTAAAGCTCAGAAGAACCCAAATTTAAGCTTCAGCGTTGTAATTAGGCAGCCAGTAGAACCCAAGAAAAATAATTGCTTTTCCTCCAGAAATATACATATAGACCCAGAAAAAAATGCTCGTCATGTAAGTTAAATACAGAGCAATTTAAATATTAAAAAGAAAATGAGAATGCAAACAGCTTCAGAATTTTTGGGTTAGTTTTTAACTGAGTTTCGCCGAAGCCCACTTGAAATGTTCAGTAGGGCCTTTTTTTTCCTTCTTATGGGCTAGAAGGGGTGCAGGACCAGAGTGGCCCAATAATTGGCTAAGACCAAAATGGTGATAACAGATAAAAAGAATTTATTTAGAAGAAATTGAAGAAGAAGGAAGCCAAAACTTGACTGATGGCAAATTGTTACTCTGCCACTTCCTTAGATTCACCAGATTTTCGCGTTGCATGGGTGTGTAGTTGAAAAACTTACTTACAGCTGATTAATTTACCAAATTTATGCTTCAGCGTTGTAATTAGGCAGCCATTAGAACCCCAGAAAAATAATTGCTTTTCTTCCAGAAATATACGTATAGACCCAGAAAAAAATGCTTTTCTTGTTACATGTAAGTTTTCTCATCTCTCACACACTTCCCTCGTGTAAATAGACATACCAATATTAAAATTTAGTTAAACTAATCATAAATCTCGAAATTTTGCAGTATGAAGGACGACTAAATAATGTTGGAGATTTGAAAAAGAAGCCCTATTACATATTTCTTCATTACACATACCCCTTTCACTCAGTGGCTCTTGGAGTTTTACTGTATGTCGTAGGGGGGCTACCGTTTTTAGTTTGGGGAATGGTAAGATTTGTCTTATTTACTAATATTGTCCTTTTGATCAAGTGAAGAAAGAACAAACAAATTAAATGCCTCCTTAATTAAGGAGCAAAATCTCTAATATCAATGATCAAATAATAAAATTTACATGGTGTGGTGGCTTTGCCTTTTTTTTGTTTGTTTTTATTAAAGGACCTTTTTTATTGAGAGGGACGATAACATGTTACATTCATACAAACTACACATATGTTAGGACTCGAACTCAAAACCTTTCATGAGAGAGCAAATGCTCTAAACCACTATACTAGTCGTACTTTGCTCATTTTCATTTGTTGTCAATCACGGCGATCACTTTGATTAGTCTATTATGTTCTTTTCTTTTTGTAGGCCATAAGAATGGTCTATATGGTCCACGTTACTTTCTCAATAAATTCGATTTGTCACACATGGGGAACGCAAGTATGGGATACCGGTGATTCATCCAGAAACAATTGGTATATTTTGTTGTATAGATATGTCTGTTGGATTTGGATGGAAGACAATAATCTCCAACTTGGATGGGTATAATAGCAAATGTGTAATGAATTTTAATTTTGTTAATTAGGTTGTTTGGTTTGCTAGCACATGGAGAAGGTTGGCATAACAATCACCATGCATTTGACTACTCAGCTCGACAAGGTCTTGAATGGTGGCAAATTGATACTACTTGGTATTTGATACGATTTCTTCAAGCTCTTGGTTTGGCCACAGAGGTCAAACTTCCAACTGAGGCTCAGAAGAAACGAAAAGCTTTGTACAACAAAGTCATCAACAAGAAGGAAAAGCTTGGAACCGTTGGCAACAATGGAAAACTCCAAGCAGTGAAATAATGGAGACTCAACTTTTATGCTATCTACATTTTCGTTATTTGTTTTGTAAGAAGACTCACGCACCATAAGTATGAATTTGTGGAGAACGAGTTTTTGTGTATGAATCATTTTAATTATGGTGTTTAATTTGTGTTTCTCATCAAGTGTTTCATTTTTGTTTTTGGTAGACATAAACAACGTGGCCCAAGTCATGGTGAAGGACCTATAACATTCTTGCAAGTTGTCTTTTGAATTCAAAACTAAAATTTTCTGTAATGCAAAAATTAAAAAAAAAATTAAAAATAATAATAATTTATTGAGAAAAAGAAACATCCAACGTACTTTTTAGCCACTGAATAAAAAAAGATCGAAAGACTAAAATATGGACATTGATAAAATAATACACTGATAAATGTAACATAACTAATAAATGCTATTTTACTTGATCAAATGTTTTTTTTCCGTACAAGTGAAGTGATAGTGGCTAGTGGCTAGTGGCCGGCCTACAGAACAAGAAAATAAATTGACTGAATTGTTGCTGCGAAACAAGTTGTTGTAATTAATTTGGTTTGCTTATGATAATATGCACAATCTCTTTGTCGTCAACCTAATCACCACAAGAAAAGACAAAAAATTTGTCCAAACTTAACGGGTTTTAGTTGTCCTTCTTTAATTGACAATATGTGCACGAACAAAAAATTTGTACAACCAAAATAAGAAACAGTAGCAGAATCTAATTTCTGGCTGAGAGATACGTTTCTAATTATTATGACATTGCAATTTGCAATTGCTAGCTAGCGAGGACAGAGTTCAGTGACTGTTAGGTCATTTACTGATTGAGTTGCTTCTGCTAACTGATCAAGTTCTAATGCACCATAACTTTCGAGGCGAGCCACCGACTGCTGTGAGTCTGCAGAGTTCTCTTGCCGGACATAAAACGCTGGCTGTGACGGGACGGTGGAGTTTATGGTGTAACTATTGAGCATCATAACAACCTCAGACATGGTAGGTCTTTCAGCAGG